ATTTTTTAAGACAATTAGTGAAAAGTCACTGATTTAACGTTCGCATGGAGGAATGAAAAATGCCCACTGATATTTGAAGGCGGCTATAATTCACGAAGACGATTCTGTAACCGATTTAATTGTGTAGCTTTCATATACGTAGAACAGGAACTCTCAATTTTGGTAATGCCAACAGGGACGGCACTAATTGACTTAATCGACATCAACTTCTTTTAACACCACATTTGTAGTGTAAAATGAATTTGGTCAAACGTTGCTAATTTATTGAAAAAATGATATAGTTGCTTTACCATTGAGGAAGTGCTAGTGGGAAACAAACATCTAAAAAGCGCTCTTAACGTATACAGAGTGCTATAGAGTGCTAATTACAAAGTGTTAATTCTTTAACTTCTTTTATAAATATATTTTAACCTGGTCAACTGCCGTTTAATTGCAACTTTCATACCAAATCTCTTTATTTTTTTCAATGTCAAAGCAATGCGCATAAGCAATCTGCCACTGACCACGCTAATGCCGCAAGTTCTCCCTGCAAAACAGCATTTGTTTTTGAGGACAATCAAAAAAAAGTGGATTCCAACAATTTTTTGCTCTTACCACTTAATTACACTTATTAACACTTAAAAACGATATGTAATGTGTGAAGTCTAATCTACAGTTTATTATGAGGGGCTAGTACTACCTTAAATCAATCAGTTGTTCTACTTTTTTGTATCATATGTCTAGAAACCGCATATTTTATAATTGAGCATTCCATTTCGCATACTCTTTGTTTATGAGCATTTAGAACCTTTTTAATATCTCATAAGCTGTGCCTTAAATGGAAGTTTTTTAACTGACTGTTCTAGAAAAATGGGACAATACTAATCATAAAATTCTATTTTTTCAAAACAACTTCATACTGCACAGTTAGGCAATAGAAATTTGGCGAGTTTTTCCGGTTTCTGAAATTCTGCTTAAAAGTTACGTAAAAAAAGCATCACTGCTTTCGCTTGAGACATAAAATCACTTTAAAAAAGGTGTTCCACTAAAAACATTAAAATATTTCAAAAAAAATTTTGTCTTTGCACCTGAACAGTAATGAACGACTATGACAAAAAGACAGAAAAATTAATGTAAGACTAAAAAAAAACTAAGCAAAGAAAAATGAAGTAAAAAAGACTAATTTTTTTACACTTATATGCTGCATAAAACGAAGAAAACAGTGAAGAAAAATTGTTTGTCTAAAAGGTGTGAAAAATTTTAGTTTTATTAAAGTGCTACGTCGGCTAAACAGGTATTGTCAATGAACCGCAAACTCTTAGTATATGCATTGCATAGTATGCACCTTTTTTTTACAATTTTAAGTCTTAAATAGTGTAAAACTAACTAACTTTTTGAAGCGCAAATGCATAATTCAAAACCAATCTTAGTTACTTTTTTACTGTTCTTATTAGCTTCGTTATCAGTCAAATATTTTCCTTGATTAATTATAATTTTTCAGAACGAAGGGCAAACCTCTTCAACTATATCAGAATTTAAACACAACCACAACGGTAAACCACCGAATTCCATTTTTTATCAGTAACCTTATAAATGCTGTTACAGTTTCTCGCTTATGCCTATCAAACAATTGACAATTTTACACTTATGATTCTTAACATTTTTTAACAACTCTTTATTGTTTTACTCATTTAAGAACTTGCCTCATTTTTTGAAAATTGTATTTTTATTAGGTAATTCTGCTACAGCTGCTCCTACCTATTCTAATCCTTACCCAAAAGAAGGACAATTATTAACAGGGAACGAACCTCAGGTAATATACACTTTAATCACTACTTCCTATTAAGTATAACACAGTACTTAAACACCTCTAATTATACTAACGATCTACGGAGAAAAAAGCATTTAATCATTGACAAACATGGAACATTTTGAAGTTTAAAAGATAATGTTTTTCAAAGTACAATTTTAAAAATAAAAATTTACAATCTTTTACAGTCTTATTCACCGAAAATTTATACAAGTATGCATCTGAGAACATCTGAAAGAGTTATTTATGGATAGTTTTATTATACTTTCAAAAAGATTTAGACAATTTCTTAAAGCCGCTTTTGACTTTTACAGACTAAAAAAGTAACGATTCAAAGAGTAGTATGGCCGAAAGAGTGCAAAGACGGCACAACAGTTATAGACCTGATCATATGCGAAGATCGAGAGTCAGGTGAAATAGTTTTGCTATAGTCTATTCTTAAAACTTAACCAAGTTAGCGAAACTAAACTGACAAGATTTACCTAAAAGCTGTGATGTAAATCAAAAAAATTACCAAAAACAGTTTTACAAAACGCAAATAAGAGTTATTCAGTTTGCATTATTATTTATTAGCTATTTTATTAGGTCCAGTCGCACCGCCATCAACAAAGTCCGAACTTTTACCGGAACCAGAACTTGAAACTACATTTGAAGTTTCACCTGCGCCAGCAAGGTATATGGTAACAGAAGTAGCGTCTACATTA